ACAATACAATGGCATTCAGCCTTAAAAAGGAATAAAATTCTGGCACATCTACAACATGAATGAACTCTGAAAACATTATGCTAAGGAAAACATCTAGCTATAGGACAAATACTGTATGATTACACTTATGTGAGGTACCTAGAAGTGGCTAATTCATAGAGGCAGAAAATAGAATAGAGGTTACCAGGGGCTGGGGATAAAGGGAAATGGGAAGTTATTTTTTAATGAGTACAGAGTTTCTGTTGGGAGGAAAAACAAGTTCTAGAAATGGATAATGGTGATCATTAGACAACCTTGTGGATGTATTTAATGTCACCAAATTGTATACTTAAAAATGATTAAGATGATACATTTTATGTTATGTATATTTTACCACAATAAAAAATTCCACTAGAGGAGCATCCTACAAAATTTCTGACCAGTCCTCCTCAAAATTGTCAAGATCATTCAAAATAAGGAAAGTCTGAGATACTATCACAACCAAGAGGAGCCTAAGGAGACATGACAACTTAATGTAAAGTGGTATCCTGGACCAAACCCTGGAACAGAAAAAGACATTAGGGAAAAAATAAAGAAATCTGAATACACCGAGGACTTTAGTTAATAATAACATATCAGTAATGATCTATTAATTGTAACAAATTAACCATACTAATATAAGGCGTTAATAATAGGGGGAACTGGGTGCAAGGTATATGGGAATTCTCTCTACCACACTCCCAATTTTTCTGTAAGTCTAAAACTATTCTTAAAAATAAAGTATTTTTTAAAAAGAAGCCAAAAGGGATTTCTGCTCCAACAGAATTGTGAGCTAGATGACCTGGGTACTTTCCCATTGCACAACAACCCCACTCTTAAAAAAAAAAAAAAAAAAAAAACCCTAATTAATGCATTGCTTAACCTGAAAGAAGAGAAATTTCCATGTATCTTCTTGACATATTCCCCCTCCAGATCTCTGCCCCCTACATCAACAAAATCGATTCTGGGAGTAGGCAATTAAGAATAAAACGATTAAGCTGAGAAAATGCCCACAGAGCTGTGTTCAGAAAACAAGGCTCGCATCAGCAGCAATATGGAGGAGCTGAAACTGAGACCTTTGTACTAAGCTAGAAACTGAAAGAGGCTAAAAACATTAATAGTTTCAGATTGGTAGTGCCCCCAGGCTCCAAGCAGAATCAAATACAAATCCTCTTCCGAGAAAAAAAAATCCACAATTAAGCTTACCAGATTCCCAGATTAAGGTCAAGAAAATGTGAGTTCACCATCAAAAATCACCAGACATAAACGAACCAGATCACCATGACTGAGAAATCAGAAGAAATAAATATGTACATCTCGAAGAAGCTCAGATATTAAAATTTTATCAGTTGTGAAATATAGAAGTGCTATTTAGAAAATACTTAAAGAAATAAGAGATAGTAGAATCACAACAATGAGCAACAAAAGACTGTCAGGAATGACCAAGCAGAAGTGACAATCAAATTCAAATTTTAGATATTAAATATATATTTCTTGGAATTAAAATACTCGGTGGATAGATAGAATGGCAAATTAGACACAGATAATTAGTAAACCATAAAATATCTGAGAAAATTATCCAGAATGAACAGAGAATAAGGACGTGGGAAATATGAAAGGATGTTAAATAATATAGAAGTTAGACTGAAAAGATGTGACATATAAAAAAATCATATTCCAAGAAGGATAGATACGAAAAATTGATTGCAATTTTTGGCAAATTGATTGCAAAACTTAATTGCTTAGAATTTTCCAGAATTTAGGAAAGAAACAAATGCACAAATTCAAGAAGCACAATATATCACAAGGATAAATTTAAATCTATTCCTAGAGTTATCATAAAAGCCAGAACACCAAAGAAAAAAGAGATCTTTAAAGCAGCCCAAGAGAAAAAAGATTGATAACCTACAAAGACACAATTACACTGAAAGTAGATGTTTTAGTAGCAATAGTGGAAGACAGCAAAATAATGAGTAAAATCCCATGATAATAAAATCCATTATAATGAGAATTTGAATCAAGCATGGTTATTAATCACCAATTAATCACTAATGATTGGCAGCCTTCTGTCTGGTCTTCTGTCTACTTCTAATTTCAAATTGAGTAGGATAAGCTTTTGTCTTCTGAGTGAATGAGGTAGGGGACATGAAGGGAAGGGTAAGACTAGGTGGGGCATAGTAAGTACCCTATCCTAGGAAGCAGGGAGCCAGAGGGTAAATCCTTTATTGCTAGTACTCTTCTAGCCCAATCCCTTTTGATTAGACTGTCTAAATGGGCCCCAGCTAAATAGGAGATTACTAATTGCTGTCATTGCCCTGGAAGTCCTAGCCAGTGAGACAGGATCCAGAATTGGCACAATTTGATATTTATTTTGGAGCAGACAGCCACCACCAACTGGTGCTGAACCAGAACCAGGATGAGCAAAGATTTTAATTATAGAGCCAGACCATTGGAACTTCTAGCCAATCAGCTAGAAAGGCTCAGGTGACTCATGTCTTTAATTATCACAATAAACCCACTCTTTTTATTACACAATCAAAAATTTTCATCGTCACTAATCTTATTATGAGGGGATTTTATTGTATCTTAAAAGTGATCAAAGAAAACAATTTCAGTTCAGAATTGGGCACTCATCCACCAATACTATATTGCAAGAGTGAGGGGTGAAATAAAGATATTTTCAGATAAATAAGACCAAAGAAATTTAGCATCCACCTACTCATAGCAAAGGAACTTCTAAAGGATGTACTTCAGGAAAAATAATTAAACCAGAGGAACACTTTTAGATACCAGAAGAATGGTGAGCAAATAAAATGATAAACATGTATGTAGGTCTCAATAAATAATTTCACCAATAATCCCACTAATAATAATGTCTAGTTTGTGGAGTTTTTTAAAAAATAAAAGGAGGACTAAAATATTGGCTTCTTATCAAACTAGGAATAGAAGGGAACTTCTTCAAGATGATAAAGGGCACCTGAAAAAAAACCCCTACATCTAACATTATATTTAGTAATAAAAAATCACATGCTTTCCCCCTAATATCAGGAACAAGATGGACATTTTTACTTTCACCACTCCTATTCATAATCATACTGGAGTACTGAAGTTTACACCTTTGCAATAAATGAAATCAATCAATCAATCTTGGAAAGGAAAAAAATAAAACTGGGTCTTCATAGATGACATGATCCCTACTTAGAAAATTCCAAAGAGTTTACCAAAAAGTCCATGGAACTACTTTGTGAGTCTAGCAAAATTTTAGAATACAAAGTCAATATATAAAAAATAATTATAGTTCTATATACTAACAATGAACAATTGGAAATCAAATTTTTAAGTACAGTACTACTTATAATAATACTATAAAATATTCATGGGTTGGGAGACTCATTGTGAAGATGTCAGTTCTCTTCAATCAACATCCCAGCAGAATTTTTGTAGAAATCGACAAGCTGATTCTAAAATTGATATGGAAAGACAATGGCACTAGACTAGCCAAAACAATTTTGAGAAAGAGGAATGTTGGAGAATTCACAATACCTGATTTCAAGTCTACAGTAGTCAAGATGGTATATTATTGATTAAAAAATCAAGACAGGGGGTATGGTGGCTCACGCCTGTAATACTAGCACTTTGGAGAGGCTGAGGTGGAAGGATTACTTGAGCCCTGGTGTTTGAGATCAGTCTGGGCAACATAGCAAGACCCAATCTCTACAAAAAAATTTAAAGATTAGCTGGGTGTGGTGGCATACACCTATAGTCCCAGCTACTCTGGAGGCTGAGGCAGGAGGATCACTTAAGGATCACAGGAGTGCGAGTCTGCAGTGAACTGTGATCATGCTACTGCACACCAGTCTGAGTGACAGAGTGAAACCCTATCTCTAACAACAACAACAAAACTATATATATATATATATCAATGAAACAGAAGAGAGAGTCCAGAAGTAGACCCACAGATTTTATTAAAGTGCAAAAGTATCCAATGGAGAAAGGATAGCCTTTTAACAAACACTGCTGAAACAACTATAAATCCATATCAAAAAAGTATACTGGACTTCATACCATATAAAAAAATAACTTGGCAGTGTCTCATAAAGTTAATAAACATACATATACTTAACAATACCACATAGCAATGGAGGTAATTACCCAAGCAAATGAAATACATCAAACACACAAAAAACCTATATATTGTATTATTCTATTAATATTAAATTCTGGAAAAGGCAAAATTATAGTGATTGAAAGCAGATTGATAGTTGCCTGGAATTGGATGGGAGAAAGGCTCTGACTGCAAAGGGCCACCACAAGGAATTTTAGTTGTTGGCAATGTTCTACATTTTTATTATGGTCATGGATACATGACTATAGGTAAATGCCAAAACTCACTAAACTATACACTTAAATCGAGTAAATTATATTGTATATAACTTATTCCTCAATAAAGCTGGGGAAAAATAAACTGGTTAAGATATTCCTAAAACTTCTCCATATTCTGTTAGACTTACTTGAGTCACTTTTCAACTGAGTTATCCATGTCCACCCTTCTCCATACAGTATTGTCTTCTGTATATCATATGGGTTGTGCAGGATTAGTAAGAGTGCCCTACTATTTTCTCCAGAATTTTCCTTCATGCCTCTAACACCCATTCTGCAAGTTTTGGTGTGAATGTTCAAGCAATGATAATCATATTACTTCCGCTGCTTGCCTGACTGTGACTGTAAGATGCCTACTGACTCCAGATATGTTAAAATGTGAAAAAAAATGTACATCTTGGAATTGAAATGTGGTAGAAGGAAACAAAGTTATATTTCTGGTGAAATGAACTTTTTTTATTATAATGTAATGATCTCTTTAACTCCAATAATGCTTTTTGGTTAGTCAGTTTTATCTGATATAATTTAGCTAACTTGGAATTCTTTTGATTAGTCATTTTCCTGGTATATCTTTTCCCCACCTTTTTGCTTTTACAAATCAGCCCTGCTTGGACAATTCAAGGGCTCTAGAGAGCTAGTGTCAGTGTGCAGAAGAGTCCAGGATGTCTGGTGAGAGGTTGACACCTGATAGAACAGTAGCAGTACCTTTAAGGTAAGACTTGTTCACAAGTATACATCAGACACCTCTAAGGACCCCCCAAAATACTTGAGGAACATTGCAGAAGTGGCTAATGTTCTCTGTAAGCAAGTGGAGCAAAAGCCAACGGCATCTGAGTATTAATATAAGAATGACTCCTATTTCTGTCCCCTATGGACCTATGTTAGGACACATACATAAAATGTATAAAAATATACTTAAAAGTCAGGAAAGATTCTACTAAAATGTTAACCTTGGTTATCACAAATGATGAAACCTGTATGTTCTAGTTCACTACAAAGAACACATGTTACTTTTGTACTATTTAGAGCACTAAAAATAAAATGAAACAAATATGAGATTTCCCATCTAAAACACGATGGAACAATTGAGCAATAGGCAGACTGAGAAAGGGCCTCTCAATTTGGCAAGAAAGAAGTCACTGCTGGCCTCAGGAAGGATATTTATAGTAAAGTAGAAGAACTAGAAGCCTTGTTACAGGGAAATGAGTAGAAGGCAATTACTCTCAACAATATGTTGGAGGAATTTGGTGCCAAAGGAGGGTTGCATATTTCTTTTGAATTAGTCTGTATCCTAAAATCAGAGGCGTGGGCCTGACCAACTAATTTGCCTCATGTTAATCTCTATGTATTTCACCTTAAATTTTTTGCCATATCATCTCTTTTTGTTAGATATTTTTTTCACTTTTTATTAGACTTAATTTTAAATAAGTAGTTTTAAATCACAATCTTAATCATGGTCAAAAATTACTTTTAATAATTATTTGATTCGTTTTAAATTAATGCAACCTTAAAAGAAGCTGTTACAACTCAGAAAACTGTAGATAATTCTCAAAAGTCTACACTATTAATTTAGTATACTCACGATTTTATATTTTTCCTCAAAATTTTGATATCAGAAATTGAGTAATAATTATTTTTTAAATTTTTACTTAAAAATATCCAAAGCCAAACAATTTTTTTGTGTTATCCTTGGAAACTGACTATTCATTTTTCAACAAATTAGTCATTATTGTCATGAAGGGAAAAAAAACACAGCCAAAACAATAGCATGTCTAATCCCATTAAGGAGAAAAAAAAAATTAAAAAATTAAGAAAAATTATTTTTAAAAAAACATGTATATTCGTTCAATTAAAACAAGCTTACATTTTCTCATTTTTTTCTTAACAAATTTGCAAACAATCTAATAAATCAAATACACATTAAAATGTATAAACTAGTTATAGGTGGATAAAAGAAAACAATGCCAGTCCAGCCAAGGTAATAGGAGAAATTTAATATTGGATTATGGAACCAACTTAGTCTTAATTTATCTTACCTGGGTTACAAGTTTAAGTAGGAAAACTTTAAATGTGTTTTCCAGTTTTAATTGTCAAAAAACTTTGCAACACAAATTTGTATAGGGAAAGTTCTCGTTTTCTCTTCACATATGGAAAAAGCTACTGCTATTAAAATATGGATTGTCTCTTCAGTATTTTATGATAAATGTAGATGCCTAAGTGAAACTTTTTTATTGAAATGACTTGCTTTGAAATTATCTGAAAAAATATCTTTTCTAGTTTAAATTAAAAAAAAAGACTAGTCCAATGCTATATAATACAATAATAATTCTTATAATTAGGTATATATTATATTTAAGTAATATATCATAGAGTATAATATTAACATAATTATACATTAATGTAAGTAATATTGTATTAAATATTTGATAATAAACATAATGTTATTTATAATGAGTCATGCTGAATACATAAAATAGTTAAGTAACATTTTTTCCATCTCACCGTTGTCCCTAACATAGTTCTATATTTTTGGAGGGAGAGATGATTTCTGGATGTTCTTCTTCCTCAGTATATTAAGAATTGGTGGCAAACAAGGTCACATACACCCACCCTTATTACTTGTTATGTATTTTTCAGCAGCTGTTCTCTACCTTCAAACATTGTGCAATTAACATCACATGAGATCAGACAAGAATGTATTAAATCTGTAGCCCTTCCTGCCTGAGCAAAAGCAGAGTCCTAACCATAATTATTCAAAATCTTTTCTATGTCAATATTCATGCCCAATAATTATCAGATCTGGTTATGAAGCTGTACCTTATTTTGATTTGTCATCCCCCAAAATGACAGATGTCTCCTCAAGTCCTGCCCTGGTACTGCTGATTTTCTGGTGTCTTTCAGGTAATATTTGTCTACCTACTAAATGGCTAAAAGATTCAGCTCCAATTCAAGTCATGGATGGAACATATCACCTCTCACAGTGCTCCTCTTGAATAAGGAAGTGCGCTGTGACATTTTTCAAATGAACAATGCTTTTGATTTCTTCTACTTTAAATGGAACTTGTAAATTCAAAATCAGTCTCCTATAATTCAAGTCTGCAAATATTTGAAAAATGTAGGAATGTTTATCATTTTATGTAGCCACCACACCTGTTTTGAAATAATGTTTCAGAATGTATAAAACATGGCATTTGGCTATGGAATCATTATGCAAACAAACAAGAATTAAAGAATATTGTGAATTCTGGATCTTTATCCAATAAAGTTCATCAGTTTGGATGTTACTTGAATAAACATTTGCAGTTGATTCAATAGATGGCGCTAGTAACTATAATAGAGAAAAGTATTATAAGAGGGTGGAGAAAAGGTACACTAGAAGGAAATTCAGTCTAATGTGTACATAAAGTAAATATTATACAACATGGAAAATTGAGTGTCTAAGATATCTTTAACGTTAGCTGTGAACAGAATCCCAATCTGGCCGGGCGCGGTGGCTCACGCCTGTAATCCTAGCTCTCTGGGAGGCCGAGGCGGGCGGATTGCTCAAGGTCAGGAGTTCAAAACCAGCCTGAGCAAGAGCGAGACCCCGTCTCCACTATAAATAGAAAGAAATTAATTGGCCAACTAATATATACAAAAAATTAGCCGGGCATGGTGGCGAATGCCTGTAGTCCCAGCTACTCGGGAGGCTGAGGCAGCAGGATCGCTTGAGCCCCGGAGATTGAGGTTGCTGTGAGCCAGGCTGACGCCACGGCACTCACTCTAGCCTGGGCAACAAAGCGAGACTCCGTCAAAAAAAAAAAAAAAAAAACAAAAACAAAAACAGAATCCCAATCTATTCAAGATAAAGTATTTTTAAAGTTCAGGTGAAATTGTTCTATAAAAATCATACTATTTTAGAGCAGTACATAAACTGGCAAAAGCCCCTCATTTTACAGTAATGGGAAAATCAAGTTCTAGACAAAAGATTCACTCAAGGTTACATGGTTCATTAACAGTAGATTTGAGATTAGAAATCAGATTTATGACCCTAATCCCATTGTTCTTTTTACTACAAAAAGTATAAAATAGAGTAGTATTTTAATTTTATAACCAGTATAATAATGTTTTTTTCTAATGTGTTTCACATTCAAAATTTAGCCTTTGAACTATAAAAAAAAAAGATAAAGTTTTAGAAAAAAAATCTTGTTCTGACATGTACAACCAACTATAAAAATAAAATACTTGATATTTGAGAGGTGAAAATTAGGCTGGATAGGAAAATCCATTATATACAAAGCTGTATATTAGCAGATCATATGATTCTTAAATGATGTTGGAGGAAATGAGACTGAAAAAATGCAAAAGTCAAGGCATCCATATAATAGAATTTATGATTAAGTAAGGAAAAACTTCAGGAGGAAGGAAGGATTTGAGCTGGGCCTTAAAGGACATGTGACATTTGTCAAGCATTGGAACAGAAGAAGGATTTGGATGTGGATTGAAGGGAAGAGGAAACTGGCCTGTCTGGGCTGGAGGCTTATGGTGGGTTGCAGAGAATAATAAGGGGTGAATGATAATTAGGAAATATTAAAGGTTCTTGAAACTGATAGTGATACTACAATTTCCTTTTAAAGATTTTGTTTTATTATTTTTAGAAAAATTTACCCAACAGCAGTGAATAAAGTGAATAGAGAGCGAAACTGTGTGGGAGTACCCTCTAAGGAACAATTTTGGCAATCCAAACATTTAAATTATTTGAAAGAAACAAAATTATACTTTGAAAGACGACATGAGCAAATAACATACGCTTGTTACTCAGGCAGATCTAGGCTTGATTCCTGGTCCTGCCACCTAAGAGAAGTGTAACCTTGTGGAAATAACTATCCTGAACCTCAGTTTCTTAATTTGTGAAATGGAGAAACCCACCTGGTAGGGTTGCTATGACAACCAATAGGTGGTGCATTTTAACAAATTTCCCAGATTTATATGCATGTTAAAATTTGGGAAGCACTGCTCTGGGTTTTTTAGGATTGTAAGGAACATTCTCATGTTGTTTCAACTCATGAGAATTTATCATGGATATACAGAGAGGAGGTCATTGGAAGAAAAGGAAATAGTCTCAATAGCCACACAGCTAGGCTATGGAGAGAACTGGGGTATCATTAAGAAGGAGATAGAACTTTAGCAATCTGCTTACTTCATCTTACCTGTAACAGCAGACTTTTATTGCTCCCAAGTCTCGTGTTCTACTAGTCAGCTACTGTCTTCATTGATAGTGCTTATTGCTATGAAATAATCTTTCATAGCAGGTGTCTAATTCAAACTCTTATCTAAGAGAAGACTCTGTTGGTATTGGCCAGTTATTAGCCACCACAGCACTCCTCTTAGCCAAACCTTTCATGATAGGCTCACCTGTCTGTCAGCCAGTTCATTTGCTGCCTTTGGGTCCAATCACCTGCGATCATGGTACTGAGATCCTAGAAACCTGAGCAGGGCCACCTAGGCTTACAGGATACTTTTGGTCTATTTGTTCAGAAAGGGATTATGAGCAGGTTAGATGCTCAAATCTCATGCCTTATATCACAGGAATTTAGGTATTTGTTCATCAGTTTTGCATAATTCCTTTAAGAATAGAAAAGACTAGGAAACATGGTTTGGATAATGTGCCGAGTTGGAAAGAAGATAAGAGAGGGGTAGCAATTGGAAGATATTTAAAAATGTATTTCTACCTATAGTATGAAGTTACATAACAGAGCCCAAGTTTTATTAACTGAATACCTTATGTCAGAATTTGAGGGAAGTAACTGAAATTTGCTACATAAAAAGATTATTTTTTAATTTTAAAGTAAATATATCTATGATGCGACAACAAATGTGTTTGTTGCTTTCCAGTAACCCGATATAAAGGATCCTCTGGTAAGCATACTGAAAACAACAGAGATAATAAACGAGACTAGAAGTGACATCAGCCACTGCATTGTCAAAAGAAGAGTAAATTATTTAAACAGGTTTATACTAATAGAAGACACATGGCAAAGCTTGAAATAGAAATGTAGCAATTAACATCTGGGTGTGCCTTTAACTAACACTTCATCATTCAACACTTTTCAACCCACTCCTGTCTGGGATTCCTTTTAAATCTGCATATGCCAACTTCCTGGAAATGAAATTCATTCTCTAAACTGTTAAAGTTGCTTCTTTTTCAATCTTGTTCATTTTAGAACAGCTTTAGGCTCACTTTATTGGGATATATCTTCAGACCAAGAGCTTCCGTATGCACTTATCTTGCCTCCTCTTCCACTCAATCTCAAGTACAAAAGAGGATGATAATAGTTTCTAAAGTGCCTTTGTTAACAAAGTTCCGTACTAGGACTTAGAGAAACCAGAATAAATAGCCCTCAATTTTATAGCCCTCAACTTGGTACCTTTTCTGAAATAACATTTTGAATTAGAGAAATACATAATGCCAAATAAAATAGACATTTTCTCTTTCACACAGAGGATATTATTAACCTAATCTTTGTGTCTACTTTGAAAATGAATTTCTGAAACCAGATTTTTTTTTGAGCTTAATATTTTGGTAATGGCTAAATCTCATTATTTAAGACATTTGCTGAAATTAGGGGTAATAACCTCTAGGTAGGTCTAATTTTCTTGCCTTGCTAGAGATCTGTCGGGGTTTGCCTATTGTCCTTTCATTCTTCTCCATTTGAAATGATCTTATACAATATGCAGGTCCCACCACTCTGGCTGCAGTTTGAACTCCCCTGCTTATGATGTGACTTTTTTTTTTATCCCAGTGGAACTCCACACTTCAACTTTCTGAGGGCAAACTGAGAGGCTTTTGCCTGCAATCAGATATCTTCTTCAAGGGAGGATGGAGTTATAAGTCTCTTATAATTGTTTTTTGGGAAAAACATATCATACTCATGGATAGGTAGAATCAACATTGTTAAAATGCCCACACTCTCCAAAGTGATTTAAAAATTCAGTGCAATCCCCATCAAGTTATCAAAGTCATACTTCACAGATCTAGAAAAAATAATTCTATGCTTCACTTGGAACCAGAAAAGCAGCCAAACAATCTTAAGGAAAAAAAATGTGGAAGCATTACATTACTAGATTTTAAACTATACTACAAGGCTGTAGTAACCAAAATAGCATGGCATGGGTATAAAAATAGAGACATAGACCACTGGAACAGAACAGAGAACCCAGATAAAAAACCACAACTGACTGATCTTTGACAAAGCAGACAACAATATATACTGGGGAAAAGAAGCCCTATTCAATAAATAGTCCTGGGAAAATTGGATAGCCACATGTAGAAGAATGAAACAGGACCTCTAACTCTCACCACTCACAAACATTAATTCAAGATGATAAAAGACTTAAATGTAACACACAAAATAAGAATTCTAGAAGAAAATGTAGGAAAAACTCTTCTAGATATCAGCCTAGGCAAATAATTTATGAAAGACCCCAATGGGAATCATGGCAACAACAAAAATTAATCAATGGGATTTGATTAAACTAAAAAGCTTCTGGACAACTAAGGAAACATTCAACACAGCAAATAGACAACCACAGAATGGGAGAAAATATTCACAAGCTACACATCCAATGAAAGGCTAATAACCAGAATCTGCAAATAACTCAAGTAAATCAAGAAAAAAAACAACTCCATTAAAAGGGGGCAAAAGACACGAACAGAAGCTTTTCAAAAGAAGAAAGACAAATGGCCAATAAACATATGAAAAAATGCTCAACGTCGTTAATCATCAGGGAAATGCAAATTAAAACCACAATGAGATATCACCTTACCCTTGTCAGAATGGCAATTATTTAAAAAGTTCCAAAACAATAGATGCTAGTGTGGATGCAGAGAGAAAGAAATGCTTATATGCTGTTGGTGGGACTGCAAATTAGTACAACCTCTATGGAAAACAGTATGGACATTCCTCAAAGAACTAAAAGTAGACCTACCATTTGATCCAGCAATTCCACTACTGGATATCTACCCAAAGGAAAAGAAGTCATTTTATCAAAAAGATACTAGGACTCGAATGTTTACTGAAGCACAATTCACAATTGCAAAGATGTGTAATCAACTCAAGTGCCTATCAATTCATGAGTGGATTAACAAAATGTGGT